GTGTTCCTTTATTACATTTTTCTAGTTCATTTTAAATAGTTATATGTTTCTTTATTTGATAATTTCAACATATACAATCTCTTGAGAGTCTGATAATAAAATTGTTTTTTTCTTGATAATTCTCACCAGTGGTGGCTCATTTTCTCATGTTTGGTAAAATTTTTTTTTTTTGTTAGTTTATGTTCTTTGGAAGTCTACTGTGGGAAGTTTTTGAGGTATATAGAAGAAAAAGCATAGAAAATTTGGGACATATAGAAGATGCAAAATAAAATATTTAGGAAGTAATTCAAATTTATCAGTGATCGATGAAGTCAATTTCAACCCAATAAAAGACCAAAGTTTTTCAGACCGAATTTTTAAATGACCTGTATACTATCAATAAATATCTAAAACTTAAGAAAGTGGAAAGGTTGAAAGGAAAATATTTTTTTTAAAGTTCCCATGGGAATAAACAAGAAAAATAAACCAGAAAATAAACAAGAAAAATACAGACAAAATAAATTACTTTTCATGGACACGTGGGTTTAAATTCTCTTCCTCCAGAGAGAGCTTACATTTACCTCAGCTAAATACATGGAGACAGTACTGCTTTCGGCATTTTAAGGTAAATTAAGCAAGAATTTCATATTGTTTTACTTTGCATATCTTGGTAGTATAGATTCAGTCCCTAAAACCCAAGTAGGAAGAACTTGTTCTTTGCTTTCTTCCTTCCTTATTTTCTCCCTCCCTCCCTTCTTCCCCCTACTTTCCCTTCCTCTCTCCCTCCCATCTCCCATCCTCCTTCCCTCTGTTTCTCTTTCTTCCCCTATTTCTCCTCTTCTTCTTCTTCTTCTTCTTCTTCTTCTTCTTCTTCTTCTTCTCCTTCTCCTTCTCCTTCTTCTTCTTCTTCTTCTTCTTCTTCTTCTTCTTCTTCTTCTTCTTCTTCTTTTTTCCTTCTCCACCTAAGTTCAGGTTGATACACAATTCTTTTTTTGCTAGTGACAGAAAGGATGCCTTTTGTGGTGCCAGCATTTTCCCAAGGGGCCTCTCTTCCATCCTGTTACCCTGCACACCACCCAGTTTTCTTCCTCATTGTTCATTTGGGGGGTCTTTTATTATCTACACCGAAGGCTCCAGGTATGTGCAGAGTAAACATTGGCCTTCACCTGCTTATATCTCTGAGTTCATCTAGATCCATGTTTTCTTGTCACTTCTAGACTCTAAGGAATTGTCTTATTTTGTTGTCAGCTCTCTCAGTGCATTATCTAGAAATTTCTTTAATTTTTTTTCCTCAACAGTTTTAAGAGTGCTAAACAGGGAAAAAAAAGTCATCTGAGTATCCAACCTTCCATATTGCTGAAAAGAGAATCTTCTGTACTTTTAAAGACATCGTTACCTGATCTGGAGACTAAATATGTATTGCAGAAATATACCATAAATATTTACATCTGCAATTTAGGAATTGCTCACTGGAGGGGGACAAGAATCAGAGGTATCTGTCAACTGAGCCATTAAAATATTCTGGCGGAGAAAGGTGACAACTTTGAGATATAGAGCCTATGAATGCTTAAAACAAGAATAAATTTTCCACATCTGAGCTTGTCTTTTTTCTTTCTGAGCAAAACTTCTTTGCTTAAGTGCAAAGTGAGGTAATATTGGTTTTGTAATATCCTCAAATGGATATGATTAACCCAGTCCTTTTTGAAGAAAATTTCTAGGAATTTGTATTGCTTATGTCCTGCTCTCTCTGTTTCTCTTCCAGGAAAACTGGGATCACATACAGTCATACTGAAATGCAATTATTGAAGGCAGCCAGTAAAATTATTATTTGGCCTTTCAAGCTGAGACAAGCAGCCCAGATATTTCTTCTTTGCTTATTATTTTATTTTTAGTGAAGTTTCTAACGGTGAAGCCAAAGGTGAAGACCAACAAATTTTCCACTCTATGTCTATAATGCATTCAAGAATAGTGTTGAAAATAATAACTGAAAACACTCAATCCTGCCCAAGAAAATTTTTTAAGAGAGGAAAACAGATTACACTCTTAGAAGTAAAGAAATTAGGATGAATTATATATGCTTCTAAGGTACTTCAGAGATCTGGAAGAAATAACACCTGTGTGAACTATTTTTTTAGGTCATAAATGAAACATGTAATGCAGAATCATTTGTCATTGGCTTCGCAGATACCACTTCTAGAAAGCCAGTCCCTCTTGCTATGACTGATGGGACCCTGGGGAAACTGGACTACATGAGCTGGGGATGTCCTCCAGTTATTTCTCAAACTGCATTGATAGGGAATTAAAATCAGTCAAAGGAAAATATTTTGAAGCAAACTGCTACATAATTAATCCCCCTAGCTTCCAAGGGGATATTGTAAAGAAAGCTATTGCTGATCAAAGGACTATTTAATTGCTCTCCAAAGCTTTTAAAAAGTTTGTATTTTACAAAATTCTTTCAACTGATCTCTTTGAATAAGGCTGTGAAATTGCCCCTTAATATAGAAGGGATAGAAAACAATCAACTGTGTTTTTGAGTGATACTCTGAAGCTTAGTTTTCTTTTCTGTATGGTGTGTGTGTGTGTGTGTGTGTGTGTGTGTGTGTGTGTGTGTGTGTGATATTGGAGGAGAGGGAATTAGATTAAAAGACCTGTAATCCTACTTCTCAAACTTTAATGACCATATGAACCACAGATCCATATGCAAATTCTGATTCAGCTGGTCTGGATGACTATAGGTCTGCATTTCTAAAATTCTTCTAAGAGGTACCTTGTCTGCTGGCCCAGGAACCGTGCTTGGTCTAAGTTGAATCTCTGACCCTTCATGACCTCATGATGACGTTTTTTTTTTTTTTAATAACAACTATGCTTCATATTGATGATTTCTGAGTGTAGCTCTTCATACCATAAAATTTCCTTAAGACCACCTTTGGAGAGAAATCCTCAGGGTAAATACAGGACTTAACTACCACATAAAATGAATAGAGCCAGATCTGGGTAACTTAGGCAGAGTTAAATGGTGGGCATTTGCTAGGCATAAGTCTGAGAAGCTGCAGACAGGATTTCCTGACAGACTGGATATGAGGTGTGAGAAGAAATAAAAGTCAGACCTAATATCAGAAACTCTGGCCTGATGGATGGCTTGATGGAGTTCCCATTTACTGAGCAGAGACGATTGTGAGAAGAGCCCATTTGGGTGGCTAGGTGGGAGCATCAAGAGTCAAATTTGCGTGTTTCAGCTTTAAAATACTATTTCACATCCAGAGGGCCATGATCAGCAGGCTATCAGGATCTGGAGGCAGCAGGAAAGCCTAATGCTGAAGATGAAATTTGGCATCCTCACCATTACAGATGGTATTTACATTTGTTAATTCACTCAAAGATCACAGTGATCCTATGGATTTGGCATTACCATTATTTTCATTTCAGAGTAGGGGTGATTGAGGAGGAGAAAGGCTAGGCCACTACTTCAAGGTCACACAATTATTAAGTGCAATGCTTTGCCTCCAGAGCAAGGATGCACCAAGGACCTAATATCCAGTAGTGAGAAGGACATCCGTGGTGTTGGTGGGAAGAGCATCAGGGGAAGAATGAAGGCACTTGGACTGAGTGGATGACCAGACTTGAAGCCTGAACATGCACGTCTGGGTCTATATAGAAGTCTCTGGTGAGTTAGTTGCTCAGATACTGAATGCTGGGGTTACTAACCAAATTATATTGCTGGACCTGCAATGCCAGATGGACTGGGGCTAGGCTGATCCTGCAGTTGGTACTGCCTGCTGTGAGGTTCCCTTGGCAGCCAACACTCTCTAATGTGTCTCTCTAATGGCACTGCTAAGTGCTCAACCAATGTTTGCATCCATCTAAAGTAGTGTTTTCCCCATGTAATGCTAAAGAATCCTCACCCTAGCAGTGAGCTTTAGCAGATGTGTGTGGGCTTGGCAAGCCCAGGGTGAGTGCTGATGCTTATTCAGGAAGGAGAGTCATGGGGGTAGCTAAGCACATTGTGCTTTATGGGACTCACACAGACACAGTCCTAACTAGAGAAGAGACATAAATGAATTCCCAGAGCTAAGGCTGTGGAAGCAATATCTCCTAAGATGCTGCTGCCAAAGCAGCTAGGCAGTATTGATTGCAAAACTTCTGCTTGCAGACTAGAAAAGGCAGGGTGACTACTCATGTGGAACATCTACCCAAGGCAACATAGCTCCATTCTCGGCAGACAGGGACTGAAGCCTGGAGGAGCTCACTCTTCCACAGAAATGCTCTCAATTCAACCCAGGTCAGGACCTGTAGCCTCCCTAGATTGTGAGCAACCTGAGGACAGGTTTTATGACTTCTGTCTTTTTGCTGGTGATTATAAATGCTTCATAAACATTTTTCAATAAATGAGTGAAGGCTTAATGGTAGTGGATGTCAAAAATGGCTTGCAGAGAATGTATCTGTAAGGGTCTAGCTGTGTGTCTTTAATCTTTGTTTAAGAGATGGTTTTTTCATGATTTTAATGAAAAATACTATGTATGTGGCATTTAATGTTTTAGAAATTATTGTAACAAAGGCTTAAGCTATTAGAGGATCACATAATATTGATTAAGAATGTTTGGATTGTATGATTCATTTTTTTAGTTTTAGTCATCTCTGCTTGGTAGCAGCTCCCCTTGCTGATGCCTCTCCCTCACCTGTTTCAGGTACTTTGGATGTAGTGCAAAGTCGTTGCTCTGTAGTATAGTTTTCTAATAGAATCTATGACAGGGGAGGAAATAACACAGTCACAGAAAGGTCTGGAAGTGACTCCTGAGCCTCACTATGGCTAAGCCCCTAAGGTAGGAGAATTCAAGGAGAGGTCAGAATCAAGTGTCTGAAATTGATCAGGAACTATGCCCTTTCTCCTTCCAGAATAATGATATTAGATTTTCCAGATTGGATTCTAGATCTAGCAGAGAAAGAGAGGGGTCTGGGAATGGACTCTACCTGAATCCTGACTAATGTGTTCCCATTTGTGCTGGGACAGTTATGTCACTTACCGCTGTTGCTGCGTTTCCTTAGGTCATACCCGTCTCCTGGCCCATCGGTTTCTTCAGGAACCTCCACAAGGTCTGAAGTCTTGAAGGAAAGAGGAAACAGCACAGAATGAGCGATGTTATATCAGTGGGCCAACTGGGCAGTGGTTTTCATGTCAGTAGAAAAGCTAAGGTGGGATTTGCACAATGCTTGGGAAAATAATTATTATTATTTTTTTTTTTCTGATGGCTAACTTCAGGAAGGCTGTGTGTCCCCTCTTGGTCCTCATGTGCCTCCCTTCAGGCTCAGGCTTGGCCTTGGTAGGTGCCGAATGAATGCTGGATGAGCTTCTTCCCAGGAAGAGACAACAGAGAGAAATCAGAATTCCTGCCCATATCCTGTCACTTAAAAAAAGTCTCAATGAAACTATAACTCTTTGTGTGGGTGAGCTTTAAATACTAATTATAGAGAACCAGATGCACTATTGAAGGATGACTACTTAGGTAGGAATAAAGTGCTATTTACATTGTTGCCAAAATCAATTATTTTTGTAATGTTTATTCTTTCTTTTTTTAAAGAGGAGAAGGCATAGTCATTCTTCCATCTAGGTTTCAGAAATAATAAAGACAGCCACAATGGCATTCCAATTAGTTAATGGTTCTTGATTACTTACCATGTGCTGTTTTTAAGTATTTTGCATGTATCATCTCATTTATTCTTTACAATAATCCTATGAGAGATTCAGGTAGAAATCTGAAACCCAGAACAGTGATTTTCCTGGAGGTCCCACAACTAATAAATAGTGGGAGGTGGGGTAGTGGGCCCTGGAATTGCCTCCAGAGCTCAGCTCTGAAGCACTGTGCTCCATCCCATGATATGTTGGCTGCATGGGCTGGTGAGAGCTTTCAGGGTTATCACATTGTCATATCAGACTGGTCATGGCCATGGGAACTGGCACATGTTACAATTCAGGATCAACTCTAACCTGGTTGGTTAAACATTCACCAGCACACCACTTATGGCCACTTTCACATGATGGCATATCCTAGCTCCTGTCTACCTCTTCCAAGAGGATGAGAAAAGTCACATTCTAAAAAATAATTTGTTTACATGTTATTGGAGTGGAACAAGATAAGTTCACCTTCCTACTTTCCTCATCAGCCCTAGAGCACTTGAGAACCATCCTCCAAGACAGATTTTTTTTTTTTTTTTTTGGTACCAGAGATGGAACACAGGGATGCTTATCCCCTGAGCCACATCTGCAGCTCTTTTTATTTTTTATTTTGAGACAGGGTCTTGCTAAGTTGCTTAGGCCTCACTCAAGACAGATTTTTGTTACAGTTTAGCTTGAAGATTTTTTTCCCAGACAGTTTACTTTCATGATACATCAGAAGGAAACAAAAGAAAACACAAGGGGAAAAAAGAAACCTAACAACCCAGCACAAGGTCCTCATCATTCATACCCTGCTCTTTTTGAGGCTTATGATTTCTACACACAAATGCTTTACAGGGAATTTCATTTATTTCAATTTAATCTTATGAAACTGAGATTATTCACAAACTGACCAGAATATGTTTTTTAAAGTTACTTCAAAAAAACCAAAGCCTCCCCAAAGCCATCAAGGCTTTTTATATTCTAGAACATTCTTTGAAAACATAACGATTTGGAAAACCATCAGGCAGTGACTTCTCGACAATGTAGAACAAATGCCTCCGCAGCCCTGGAAGAAAATAAACCTGCAGAACAAAGCTTTGCTATGTGGGAATGAGTTAGCTTTAGGACATAACAGCATTAAAGAATGGCAAGGGGCTGAAGTTCATTATCACTTGACCCTGCAGGAAGGAAGCAAAATCATTTTAAAGTACCAATCAATTGTCTCTGTTTTCTTCTACAGAGGCACGTTGGTCTCTGGGAAAAGAGTGAGGTGACAGACACTCAAGTACAATTTGATTTTTCTTTGTCTCCCTGTGGTTTTCAGAACAATGCCTTCAATAAGCAAAACTCCAACAAATATTTACTGATGGAATCAGTACTAGAATAACTGGACAGTGAGGAATGACACCCTATTGACACAGTCAGAAACTGTGCTTTTTTTCCTCCTAAAATCAGTTTACAGGGTGCAAATGTTGTTAGAAACAAAGGTATTTTAGAGATGAAAGCGAAGTGAGCATCCTGCAGTTATTTCTCTGATGGTTTTGCTGCTTCTTAGAGTTAGCCAAAAATGAAGGCTAAAATGTTCATTGGGAACTATGGAATGTGTCTCAGGATGTCTCTTTGTCCTATGATCAGCAAAGCTAAGAACTGCAGGAGCAGTCAGCCACCTACTCTTTATATGGATAGTTCAAGGTCATGTCTGGGGAGCCTCTTCTCCACCCTTGCCTCACCTTGGCTTTCTGTTTACCTTTTCTGGAATGCTGATCTCATATAAGAGTGGGAAATGCTTTTGTTGGAGTGGAATGAGGATATATTGGTTCTCATCAGAGACATGAGAGAATGCAAATCTGGTCAAAATGCAGGTCAAAGTGGAGAGAAGTCTCTCTTCGCTCTGGTTAGTTTTATTTGGGCTTTTCTTTTGGCTTGCTAAGTGGTAGCTACAAAAACTTGTAAGGGACAATGGGTGAAGGGGTACAGGCTGCAAACCAGCTCTATGTGGCTCTGGGGGAAGCCACTCATTGGCAGCACAGGTCCTTCTCATTCCTTGAGAAAGGTGTGATGATAGGATCTGGCAGAGGGTTATCATCCTTTGATCTTGTTTCCAAGCTTTAGATCCAGCCTTCTGGTTGCTGTAAGTGTGTGATTTAAAAGCTGTCCACACAGAGAGCAACTGTGAATAAGACAAAGAAAGAGGAAGGAGCTGGCAGGGCTGATTTCATTGGAACCAAACCTAAGTACTTAATTGAAATTTACTGCCAGCTTTAGGTCCTTCTTAGAAGTTTAGAGAGTTTGTTCATTTTTTTTATACACCATAGATTTAGTGAGAATTTATAATGGACAGCCACTACATAGATGAATGTTTCTCAAATTTTGGTGGGTATTGGAATCATCTGGGTTGCTGATAAAACTCACATAGGGCAGAACCTCTCCCTCTGTGTTGTTATTAAGTTCCCCCATCGAATTCTGATGCCCACCAAAGTTTGAGAATCACAGATATAAGGTATTGGAAGTAAAATGCAAACAGAGCGCTTGCATTTAAGCAGCTCTGTCTTAGTGGAAGAGGCAATTGGAAAAGCGAGAGAACAATTAAACAAAAAAGCAAAAATTACTAAGCATTATATAAATCAGTTGCTATGGGAGAACAGGGAACAGGGAAGAGGTGCCCAGCCAAAGCAGGAAGCACTGGGGGATGTTATCTGCAGAGTTAGAGACAACGTGGGTGACTAGACAGAGCATGGCTTTTCAGAGAGCTGTTCCTGGAGGTTGGCTGTGAGAAATGAAGTGTTATGTGGACCCTGGAAGATTCTGAGGTCTGTCTTCAAGAGTCCCTCGTTAATTCTTCTCTATTCTTCAACCATTTCTCAAGTGCTCACTATGTGCCGGAGACCATGCAAGGTCCTGGTGTAGTGAGGTAAATAAGGAAGGAGCCCCTGATGTATAGCCACTTACTATCTAGTTAAGGAAATTGATGCAAAAGAAGATAATTACTGTGTAATCAAGTATATCCAATAAGAAAGGAGCTCTTGAAAGCTTGTGGAAGGAATGACTGGGTCATGCTTGAGGGAGTCTGGGGACTCTATTTTTTATTTGATAGAAATCAAGTTATATCTTAAAGAATTGCAATTGTAGAGAGCAATATTTTCTAAGATGTGATGTCAAGAGCTTGGTGAATTCAGGAAAAAAAAAAAAAAGAAAAGCCTTGTATCATGGGAGCTTGCATGTGAGAAGTTAAGTGTTATGTGGAGCCCAAAGGATCCTGGGGCCATCAAGAGACCCTTATTGATTCTTTCTCATTCTTTAACCATTTCTCAAGTGCTCATCTGTATCAGCCATGCTGAAGAGTTTAGACATTGTCCTTCCAGCAGAAGTGACTCAATAGAGTGTTTTAATTAGGAAAATTGTGCACGTATTTAAGGGATGATACAACTTGAGAAGCTGCTAAGAGTACACTCAAAATGAATAAAGTAGCATAAATATTTCTTTGTTGTAATCTGGGTGAGAGATAATGAGTTTCAAGTCCTGAGAACTGGTTACAGAGAAGGGCACTTAGGATACGTATTTCTGAGTTCTGCCTTGTGGAACATAATCACCAATGGAGCACAAGAACAGTCTAGATATGCTCATGTTGCAGTATCTGTAGGACTGGCATGGTGCTTTGGCAAGAAGTTAGAACTGGAAATATCTAAGCTTAGGGATGATGGTTGGAAAAGAAAAATGTAAAGATCAACCAGGAAGAGCATGTAGAACAAGAAGACCAAGCAAAAGCAGATCCCTGGGAAAAGTCCAAATTAAAGAGCAAGTGGAAGATGAGTCAGAGAAGATGAGCTGAGCAGAACAGCAGAACCTCCAATGAGTCATGGGTTTCCAACAAAGCCTGGGCATAGGCCCTGTCAAAGGAGGGCTTTGGAAAATACTCTTTTCAAATCCTCGTGAATGGATGACACCCTTGTTTAACTTCATAACTTAGGTTTAAAGGAAATCCAGCTAAGACTTAGATGCTCAGTGAAAATAAAGCAGCAACCACTTCCATTTATTCAGTGCAAATTATTCCAGGACCTATGCTAGATACTTTATGTATATTATTATATCATAGCAAATACTTTATGTAGTTATTATTATTATATTACCATTACCTTACCCATGTAGCCATAACAAGTTTATGTAGAGCCATGCATCACTTAATAACAGGGATATGTTCTGAAAAATGCATTTTGTCATTGTGCAAACATTCTTGAGTGCACTTACACACAGCTAGATGGTATGGCCCATACACACCTAGGCAATATGGCATAGCTTATTGCTTCTAGGCTATAAACCTGACCAACATGTCACTGTACTGAATACTGTAGGCAATTTTAATACCACGATAAGTATTTGTGTCTGTAAACATAGAACATGCACAGTAAAAATACTAGGCCATAAGAAGTTTTCAGCTCTGCTATAATCTTATGGGGCCACCATACATGTTGTCTGTCATTGATTAAAGTGCATATGATGCATGACTATCATATAAATTCTATTCCTATACATTTTATATATTTTTTCAAAATTACATTTAGCACAATTTTAATTATTCATTCAATAAATTAATTAAAATTATCTTCTAAACTGCCAAATGATAATAATCTCTCTGCAAAGATCATAGGGATTCAGGTATCTTAAACTGTCACAAATTATATATCCTCACTGCTTTGAGGCAGTGTCTCCTGAAGCTAAACATTTCCATCTTACTATAAAATCCTTCAGCTTTCATGTGGCATGGTTATTGTAATATCCTGAACACATATATATCCTATGTTTTTATTTTTAATAAAATGGCATAAGGCATATTCAGGTTATATTTTAAAATAATGCCACCACCTTCAACTTTCTCCTCTATTGGTTTGGTTTTCAAAAATTAGTAAATGTGGGCTCTTTATTTGTGTGTGTTAAATTGCAAAAAAAAAAAAGGAAAAGAAAAACCTCATTAGCATAAATGTTATGCATGACCCAGGAAAAAGATTAAAAATTATTTTATAATTATTTGAGTGAGATAAATCAGAGGAGTTTCTGAAGAACAGAGATTTCAGTGAATTGGTTTCTAGAACGACCATGCAGCATCAGAGACCCAAAAACGCATCTACCTGCAGGCTTGATCACATTCCCATGCCCTGCCTAGAGTCTCAGACTATCTTAGGAATAGACCTGCAGCCAGTGAGGGAGCTGCCTCAGCTCAGCCCTGAGGACACCAGAAGGGGTGTGTGCTCTGCCTTCTTCTACTCCTCCTCTGGTCACCTGATGTTGACTCAGAGGAGTAGACCATTTGGAGGCTCATCTGTGTCCTGCCCTAAAGTCCCAGTCCTGCAACCTTATGCAGGCCTTCCTGAATGGCCATGTGCACTGGACAGTCCTTGCCATTTTTAGGAGGGATGGTGGCTTTCAGCAAGGGTTGGAGAGTTGTGTGGCATCTTGGGCCATTTATAGAAATTATGAATGGGAGAGCCAGAGACAGGGTGGGCACAGAAATACATTAGACCATCAGTTTAGGTCAGATGAAACAAAAGAGGTGTTTGGGAGGGTGAGTGTCCCTTGGAGAGAGGTTCTACTGAGTCACAGGTGGAGCATTTCCAGGGAGGGCTGTTTTTCTGTGAAATCAAGGCACACTCTGTCTTAGAAAGGAGTGAGAAAATGTGAGAAATAGCTCTCTCTTTTAACTGGGATAAAGCCAGAAGGAGAAATGCAAACATCCAGACCTTCTGTTTTTGCCCATTGTTTGAGTCAAATATTTCTTTTATTTTTCCTTCCTCCCTTCCTTTCTTTTTTCTTTTTTTCTGGGGGGGGGATGGGGATTGAACCCAGAGGTGTATTTACACTGAGCTCCATCTCCTGTTTTTTTTTAAATTTTGAGGTGGGGTCTTACTAAATTGCTTAGAACCTTGTTAGGCTGCTGAGGCTAGCCTTGACCTTGGGATCCTCCTGCCTCAGCCTCTCCAGTCACTGCAATTATAGGTATGTACCACCATGTCTGACTCAGCCAAATATTTCTTAAGTGTTGACTGATATGCCATCTAATATTGGTGAGAGGATGAAAACCAAAACCAAAACCAAAACAAAAGCAAAAAAAAAAAAAAAAAAAAAAAAAACCAAAACCATGATGAAAAAGAGAATTATATTGAAATGATAAGCTACTTTGAAAAATTTGACAATAGGAACATTCATATCCAAGCCTGTGGGATGCAACCAAAACAAAAGCAAAAAAAAAAAAAAAAAAAAAAAAAACCAAAACCAGTATATGGGAAAACTCATGAGGCCAAGAGAATGATCTTTGAGCAGAAAAGTAAAATGTGCCCCGGGCGTTGACAACAGAAAGTCAGCCCTTCGTGGCCCAGAGCACTTTGAGTTACCCTTTGGAGGTAGCCTGACTCTCAGAAGAATCATCCTCATGGCACATTCAGGTGAAATCCCTTACACTGCTGCACCTGCCCGAGACACCATGGGTGAACTGAGGGGGGAAGAGGACAATTACAGAGGTCCTGTGAGGTGAATCAGAGCCACTGCCAGAGCTGCCCTTCTTCGTTCTCTGGGCCAGGGAAGTGCCAAAGCGAAGGGTCTCGTAGACAGGGTCCACCTTATTGCCACAGGCTGCAACAGAAGAGAAAGCTTTTCTGAGAAAGCTCACCGGTGAGGGCCCACCCCGCCCACCACGCATCACTCCTGGGTTATCATCCTCCGAGAAGCAGCTGACCTGCCAGCCCTGGGGAAGATCCAGCTTCTCGCACAGACGTGACCTCCACACCACCATGTGCACATTCACCATGGCACCCAGAACTTCCAGCCAGGACTCTGCTCTGAAACTTTCCCTGAGTGATTGGTTTTCCTCTTTCCTGATCCATCCCCAGGACTCCAGAGACTGGTTTCATTTCCTCCAGAGGGAGGCTCTGCTCACTAAGGCACATTCTTGAGACACAGTGTTTGCAACAGGGGGCAAGTGTTTTTTCACAGGGATTTGAAATCACCAGGCTTCATAAATTTCTAATTAAAAGGTTTCTAGTTTATAAATTTCTACTTTAAAACCTGTCCAGCCAAAAAGGCAAAAATAGGTGTGGAGATTTTTAGGGACAGAATAAAAAAAAAAGAAAGAAGAAAATTGGAAGGTATTATAAAAGAAGAAATCTAAGCCAGAATAACTATAAATATAGGGCATTATTTAGGTCCTCATTAAAGAATAAGTGAGATTTCCTGAGTTCCCACTTTATACTTACTGTCTATAGTATATACTCAGTATATGTTATATGTGTATCAGATATACTGTCCTATCAGATACTATATATTGTATGTATCCCTGTCTATCTATCTATCTATCTATCTGTCTCACAACAATTATGAAAACAGTGATTGCAATTGCCCTTCTCAGTTTGTAGGATCTGACAGATTCAGTTATTTGTGCAGAGTATAGTAGGCCACCAGCTCTACACAGGTCTTTGAGAAGCTATGCCCCATGCTCTTGCCACTCTTCCGTGCTGCTCATGACTGAGAAAGCATATCAGGAGCCCTTGGGATGTGAGTGTTTTTCAAACTTCATCAGGATGAAAATTTTCTGAAGAATTTGGTCCACCTTCTGTTTCTCCTCCAGCAAAACAATTACAACCCAAGCAGCCACCAAACAAAGACAGCCACTGTTTTATTTTTTAAATTTGTTCTTTCTAGATATATGTGACAGTAGAATATATTTTGACGTATCATATATACATAGAACAAGCATAACTTGTTCCAATTAGGATTCCATTATTGTAGTTGTATATGATGTGGAGTTACATTGGTTGTATATTCACATATAAGGATAGGAAAGATGCGTTTGATTCATTCTACTGTCTTTTCTATTCCCATTCAACCCCCCTTCCCTTCATTCCTCCTTGTCTAGTCCAATGAACTTCTAATCTTCCCTTCCCTTGTTGTGGGTTAGCATCCACATATCAGAGAGAACATTCCGCCTTTGGTTTTTTGGGACTGGCTTACTTCATTTAATATGATATTCTCCAGTTCCATCCATTTACTGGCAAATGCCATTGGAAGTCCTTGGAGGACAGCACCTATTAAGCACCTATTACTGACTCTGTAGCTCAAAACCCATCTCAACTCATCAATGTCCAACTCACCAATGGGCATAACTTCTTTAATGCATCCAAACTGTTCATGGATGAGCAAGGGGGAGCTGTAGTAACGCCGAAACCCCTTTGGCTGGAGAGAGAATAAGAAAGAGAGGGTCTTAATGTCATTGAAGAGATGGAGAAAATCACTTGAGTCCTAAAATTATAAAACCAGTTGGTGTCTCCCTTTAAGATGCTGACTTGTCTTATTAATTCTATAACTCACTGCTGAAAGGGGAGTGGGGAGGAGAAAAGATGGATGGCAATAAGCAAGTTATGCCCTATCTAGATAGCAAGTTCTTGGCCCTGGCTTGACATCCTGATTCTTCTCCCCCTGCTGTGTACTGCAGCTTCTGCTGTGTGCCATGTGCTCATTATCTCCCAGGACAAAGGGATTGCTTTGCATTCTTTTACCACAGTTTATGATTGTGCTTTATTAAATTCATAAAGTCCTGGGCATGAGAAAGCAGACCCCAAGACCTAAAGGCATATCTGAAGAGTTTTCCTCAGAATCATCTTCTATTCTTTCTGGATTCTCTTCTGTGTTTGTGATCTCTCATCCGTGATCTTTGTCTTGGCTTGTGAGAATGATCACTGAAGAAGGAGAAGGGGAACAGGTGAAAGTGGAAGGGATTTGAGAAAAAAAAGGACACTGCCAATCAAAGGAAGTGGATAAACTCTGTAAAAACCTGGACTTAGAACTCCCCGTGTTAGAAGGGAACTTGGTGATCTGGTTTCTACTAGAATCCTGAGATCTTCTCCCGTGTTCCTGGCAAGTAGCATCCTGCTTTATCTGAGCACTGAAAATGGCAGGAAGATTATAGGAGCATTCCCTAGCCCTGGAGGAGGTCTTTGGTGATATTATATCTGAGTGTTAAGACATGGCAACTACTGATACTAAGTCTTTTCCCTAGAGCCAGAAAATGTGATGGTCTTACATTTTTTGAAGACAGTTGTTATACTCCAATGAATTATTTTCTATAGTAGATACCATTGGTATAATCTTTGGCTATCCTAGTTTTAAACACCCTCAGACATGCTCTGGGTTGCTTTTTATCAATGTGAGGCATCAGGACTGAAGCCCACACTCCTGAGATGGTAGGATCAGCTCAGAATGACAAGACCATCAGACCTTTCTTCATTTGGCTAACATGACTGTTAAAGTGGTGTAGACTATTATAGCTCTGTTTCAGTTTTGCTGGGGGTTGGCTGTAGTCCTCTTTTGAAACTCACTGAGTTGATAGCCAATTAAGCTCTAGGGTAACTAACAAATGACATTAGTTTGCCTGGGACAGAAGGGGTTCCTAGGATGCATGACTTCTACTTTGAAAAAATCTGAACAGTCCCCGGATAAAGATTGCAATGCTAAAACTGAGAAAGTCCCAACCTGGGAAAAGACAGTCATTCTATTAAGGACCCTCACTCCCTCTAATGTACAGCATTTGTCTAGAGGGTTGACTTAGCTTCACTCTTCTTTATCTTTATGCTAATTAGGGAGCCAAGTGAGCAGGACAGGGATGCTGGGGTGACTTCAGAGCTAAGGAGGAGTTGGAGTTGGGGCAGGGAGTCTGGGGCTTCCTGTTGGCATGAGCCCTTACCAGCTTGCCCATGCACCGCTGGGGTGCTAGGCCGTCTGTGCACCTGTGGTGGATGCTCATCTTACAGGCTTTGCAGCGCAATCCGTGCTTGGCATTTGTTCCTGTTAGGCACAGGGCAAACTTTGGTTAGGATACAGCCTATCCTTTCCTAGATACCCCTTTAAATGGCTATAAAAGAGGTTCTTCCAATAACCAGGAAGTTCTTTCTGATGACTTTTCCACTCAACTTCCCAAATGAAAAAAAGACAATGGTAAATTCTTTGACTGTCTCCTACATTTTTCTACCTAAGTTATCTGCTCTGGTTTCTCTCCATTTCTTTTCCCTCTTAATTAAAACTAGCAAGATCTACTCTCCTTACTCTTTGTATAGGCCACCCGTTTTTACTTTTCTAGTTCTTGCTGAGTGGTGCGGGTCCTATCGTTTTACCCATTCTTGCTTGCCTTCCTGTCATAAGGTTTCAGATCTTAGAAAAATCTCAGGAAAATAACTGATACAGGGGAAATGGTAAAGTCTGTGTGAAAGGGGTGTTGATGGTCTTCTGCAGTAGGGAGAGAGGACTCGATCAGATACCAGCCCCTGCCTGGTCATTTTAGTGCTGCACCAAAGCCCAAGGCTGAGGCAAGGAGAGGCACTGGGAGGCCAGACAGGTGTGTGGAGTGTGGGAGCTGTAGGAAGATGGCGTTCATGGTACAGAATGTGGCTGGCAAGGCTGGCACTCTGAAAGCTTGTCAGGAAAAGGGTGCATGAGGTCAAATGTTGTGATAGCACAGATGAGGATTAAACAGATTTTTTTGCCCAAGAAGACCACCTGGAGAGGCAGTGGGTCTCTACTAAAATAGTCTCTAGGGTGGAGTTATCAAAGTGAATATGTCCATGTAATGTGAGTTCTGGGTCCACAGGCAACCAACTAACTATCACAACTGACTCCAGATCCAAAATGAGGGTATCCCAAGATTAAAAAACCCACCTTCCCCCCACCAATGTGCTCTCATCCCCTTCATCTGCTTTTCCCCCTTTATAACTCAACGTATCTATAGTGGCCTGAGTGGTCTTTTTATAATATAATTTAGTCACTTCTTTCCTTTGCTTAAACATCTTTGAGCAGGTTCTTCCTGGCTTTCTGATGTCATACAAAATGTTCACTATGGTGGCAAAGCTTTGTGGTGGGAGCCCACCTTTGACTCTATCTCAGGCCAACCCCTCTGGTTCACTAGGTTTTAGTCATGTGGCCTTCTTTTAGTTTCTTGAATATGCAAACTCTTAAATTCCTAAAGGTTTGATACCTACAGCTCTGTTTGCCTGGGATGCTGTTTCTACCACTCTTCTCTTGGCTAAGTGACCCCTCATATTTGCATCTGTTGTATTTTTTTTCAATCAAGATTCCTTAAAAACATTTCTTCTCTCCAGCCTAAATTATCTTTTTCCTATATCCTTCCTCCCAGCATGCTGTGGTTATCTTTTTATAACATTTATCACTATTAATATTTACTTGAGAACTTGCTTCTGTCTTCCTTTTCCTCTGGACTGTCAACTCAATGAGGCTTAGGACCATGTCTGTTCATTTACCTTTGTATATTTCACTCTGAGCCTGATGCCCAATAAACATACATTAAATCATTTTCTTTCTTATTTTTCTTGGTACTGGGGATTGAACTCAGGGGTCCTCAACCCCTGAGCCACACCCCAGCCCTTTTTTGTACTTTATTTAGAGACAGTGCATCACTGAGTTGCTTAGTGCTTTCACCTTGCTGAGGCTGGCTTTGAACTCATGATCCTCCTGCCTTGGCCTCCCAAGCCGCTGGGATTACAGATGTGGGCCACTGTGCCTGGCTGCATTAAATAAATTAATGAAAAAATTCTTTCATAGTCACATATGCAGTGAAACAATGATGACTGGTGTGAGATAGTTATTGAAATTGATTCATCAGCAACATAGAAAAAGTATTCAAAAGCTAAATATCCAAAGACTAGAAGCCTCAAGGGTATGTTTGAATGATTTGCCCCAAGTCAGATTAGGTCTTGCCTACTTTCACTCTTGCACTGCTTGACCCAAATATTTCCTCTCCATCTGTTTAGCCTACATGGAGATAAAGTTGGGGTTAGTTCAATGATAAAAAAGGGAGTGCAAGGACCTGAAACTCACCTGGGAAAAGCAATGGGCAAACCTTTGAACTAGAAATGATTTTGCAGGTGTTGCCTGAATTCTCCTTCTGGGAAGGCACTGTGTAGTACAAAGCCTGTCTGCTGACAGAAAGCTGAGGTGACACATGCACACACCATAAATTATTGGGTATGTGTTCATAAATAGTGGTTGGAAAGTCCCTTTTCTTTTTGAGAATAATCACTTAGCAGAAAGGAACGGCTATGCTTTCAAAAGACGAGATGTGAAAAGTAATTACTTATTTTTTTTTTTCATTTTCAAATGAGAGAATGCCATTTGTGCCCTATGTGGAAACGTAAGTAGAAACGTCAAAGATGAAAGTTGTTTCATTGTGTGCTGGACTCTGAAATAGTGTCATTATATATTAAGGTAAATTTTCCTTCAAACCCAAACACAATGATTTCGGTTTTCCATGTCTGTTCTCGTGCACTCCCCTGTTTTGTATGAGTCAGACCACCAGCAATTATTTGGTTTTAGGTGTTTCAATTTCCACTGTGGAATAACAAAAGTGATTGAAGAGGAGAGCTTGTGCTCTGAAGTTCAGAGAATAGTTCAAAGGAATGATTCACATCACAGCAGTGACATTAGTTTACTCTAGCAAGACACAGAGAAGCCATGGTCTGACTTATTTTGTTACTTGTGACTTCCATTGCAAGTACATTGTATTATGTGTGCCTTAGGCTGGGGCAGAGAAGAGAAACTCAGTTTTAAATTTGAATATGTCTAGTACAGGTTCTTTAAATTGAAAAAAAAAACTGCGATATTTCTGGATCCTCAGCTATCTCATCACCAAATGGGAATAGTCTACCTACCATCAGAATTGCTAATAGAATACTGTCATGCTACAGATGCTCCTTGACTTATAATGGGGTATTATCCTAATAAATAAACTTATTATAAGTTGAAAATATTAAGTAAAAAGTGCATGTGGTGCACTTGACCTACAAAAAACATAGTTCAGAAGCATAGTACACTGAAGAATATTGGTTGTGACCATGTGGCAGATTGGGAGCTGTGCCTCACTGCTGCTGCTGCCCACAATCACAAGAATAATATGTAGTATATTATTAACAAGGCAAAAATATCAAATTTGATGTATTGTTTCTATTGAATGCATGTGGCTTTCACACCTTCACAAAATTGAAAATTTAGAAGTTGAGCTGTAGTCAGGGTCTCACTGCTGCTGCTGCCCACAATCACAAGAATAATATATAGAGTAATACATACACACATGCACACACACACACACATACACACATTAAAGTATTTAATAGGTTTAAATGCCTAGAAATAAAGATTTCACTGTACTTTGGGTAAAAAATGAAGAAATGGTGGACTGGTCAAAGAATTTCCCATTTAGTTATATCAAAACTTCACTAAAGCTAAAGTCAAGGTATTTTTAAAAAAATGGCTTAGACTCCAAAGAACAAGTTTACTTAGAAGAGTAGTTAGCTTAGAAGTGAGTTCAACATACAGAGATAGAAAGCAATGGACAGTATAGTAAGCAGTTTAATAGAAGATAACATTAGATTTCTCAAAGCAACTTGGAAACTAGAAGGCCATGGAACTTTGAAAACTGTCAAATTTCAAGATTCTGAGAGAAAATGTTTTCCACCCCAGAATTTTATACCCAGCCAAATTATCAAACACAGGTGAAGGTTGAATAAATATGTATTTAGGGTTTCAAAATGTTTACTTTCCCCATGATCTTAAAGAAATTGCTGGAGAATGTGCCTATTAAAAAATGAGGGAATAAATCAAAAAAGAGAAGAATATCAGATCTAGTGCACAACAGAGCTGACATGGAGGAGAGATAAATGATATCCCCATATAACAGCTCTGCAATAGGTGTAGACTGGAGCTGCAAGATAAAGTAAGGCAGTATGCTGAAAATAAAAGGGGGGGGGACTTAAAAGTTTATTGATTATTTTGAGATTTGACTATTATAAAAGAACTTGGCATTTGAGAAATCTGTGGAAGCATTTGAAAAAAGTACAGATGCATGAAAAAAATTCAGTAGGTAAAAAGGCAACTTCAATTTGAGGAAAATAAAATTTAAGAAAAGAAATGTAATCATAATGTAACACTTGAATTAGAAATTAACAGTAGTCATACATATGCATAAATTGACCATCTAGTTAGCACAAAATTGTGATAAAAGTACTTGGGAAGAGGGAGCAAGGGGGCAAAGATTGTGATATAACTCTTTTGGAAAGGCCAGCACAAGGAAGGAAAGAATAAGAGATGGTGCTGGTGGTCTGAGAGCTGAATCTATCTTTTATGGCAGGAAGACAATCAATGTTTGATTAATCAATAAATAGCAGCAGATCACAGCATTTAGAACTATTCACATAAACGCAAGGGGAAAAAATTAGAGGTGAAAGTGGCTGCCTTTTAGAAGTGAATTTGAGATGGGACAGCTTCCATTTCAAGTACAACCTGTCTTGAAACTGTTCTTATATACTACTGTGACTAAATAAATAAATAAATAAGAAGTCTCTGGAAACAGGATCAAGTTGGCCCCTTGGAACCTTGGAATGATATGACTCCCGGCATATTAGATATAGGCAAAGCATGGGGCCAGTTATTACAAAGTCATCAGTTTTTCCCTTGAAATTTGAAGTTCTGGGTTAAAGCTAAGAGTTTCATGAGTGAGTTATGATTAAAATTATTAAGCATGTTAGTCATAATAGTCAAATGGAGTTTAAAATGGACCAATGCAAGTCAATAAGCTACCCATTAGGTGTCAGATCCTGGGCTTTTTTCATGAACATGGTATATCGTTCACCACTATCAATAATGAGCTGTCCATAGAGAATCAAATGTTAAATCTCTAGAACATGAAGTCTACACATATGCTGGGAGACATTTTTGAAAAATTTTTTCTCAAGGCTGGTGACTGAATCTACTACATTAGACGACATACTCCTGTTTTCTTG